CAAACAAGATATTGACTCAGCACCTAACAAAGTGTTGAGAAGGCTTTGGAGAAACCCTACAGGAAAAACTGCTATGAAAGTTTGAAAAGCTGTATGTTCTCATATACAGTATGTTCATGTGCTTGTGCCAAAGGATTTCAGTCACTCAGTCCAGCCCTACTCTAAATGAAGACTTAATATTCTGAAAAAAATCAGGCTGTCAATCAGCTGTTAAGATGTATGTAGGCAGATCATATTTCTAAACCAAATCTATATTTAGTGATCACCTGGGAAGTAAAGTAGAATTCCTGAATTGGAATACCAGCTCCACAGTGGTTTTGTCCATCACAGACTTGTGATTTTTTAATAAATCCACAAAGTACCCATCAGTCTCTGGCAAAATCCATGTTATGCACTCTTTCCTAGGAATGCTTTTTTCCTCACTTGTTCTTTTTGTGTTCTGCTTTCTCTTTAAGGAGAGACTCTTCCTCTTACCTCTTTTCATCTTGGCTTTAGGGATTCTCTTTTAAAAATCAGTGCTCAGCAGATGCTTCCATTGTCTCATAAAGGCACCTTGCCAGGTGTATTATCTCTATTGTATCTAATCAATTGTGGAACATTGTGAGGTTCTGGCTCCTCCACCATCAGCCCAAGATTAAATATTTAACTTTCTTTCACCTAGAAACAGTATTGTGAAGAAACTGATACACAGTGAACATCACAAAGCACTCTCATGTTTTTTTCCTCCTTCCTAACAAGTTCCTTCCTCTCCTTGACCATTACCATCTCTTCATTGCCACGGACACTTCATTTATCTTCTTTTGTGACCGTATCTTACCTTCTCCCATTTTACTCACTGACAGTTCCTCCTGATAAATCTCTACTTAACTTCCCAGGATGGAGGTTACACAGCATCAGTCCCAAACCCTAACTGAGAGTGTCAGAAAAGTGAAAACTTGACTTAATTGTAGATATTTATCCAAAGGCCTATCCTGCTCATTTATTTGGACAGGACTCAATCCAGGAGAAATGGCTGGAGAGGGGAAGTTGATAGGACTCCAGACTAAAAAAAACCCCAGGAGATTTAATAACAATGAAGAACATAATGCACAAAAAAATCAGGAAGACTTGGACACAAGACTGGCAAGGAAGCAGTTTTTTTGGGAATACTGCTTCACCTCTACTCATATAGATAAGACATAGTTAATGTCTACTTTAATTAATTCCTGGAGATAAAGGTCCAGGAATATGATTGTTGTTTGAATCTGTTTTAGCTCAGGAAATCTACGTATTTCCTAAAGTATTGCAGCAAAAGACTGAATAGTTAAAACATGTTCTCCAAATCTAGGGGATCGTGTTCATCATTGAAAGTGTCTCTGTCCAATAGCCTCTAACATGTTTCATCATGTGGATGAAACATCACAATTTTATTGAAACATCAAAATTTTATTGAAACTTCACCTAGCACTTTTTCACAATTCCTTCAAACTGTTTTCCTATTTGAGGGCAGATAATTACTGTCACAGCAATCCAGAATGGCTGTGATGAGACCAATGAAATGATGATTCCTGAGTACAGGAAGACCCTCTCAAGACTATAGCATCCATGAAAGCTTCAAAGTGAATCACAGAGGTAACCCAAAGTTACTGCAATACTCCTGAAGTATTTCAGGGCTCTCAAATGCATTATTTAGATTATCCTTAAGTAACTTAATAAGCAGGACATGTGTGTATGTATGTCTGTGCTCACAGGTGCAAACAAACTGAGAGGATGGAGGCTGCAGCACAGAGAAACCAGACCAACTTTCAGCTTCAAATATCTTATATATTACTTGGAGCATTTGTGATCTTAAAGCATGCAGATAAAATACAAATTGTTTTGTGGCTTTTTAAATGGCAAACAAAACTATGACCATTTTTTTTTCACTATTATAAGCTGTTAAAATCACCTAGGTTAAGGATTTAAATGACCTAGAGCCAACCACAGCTAGCCTTAGGAACACGTTTCTTATTCAGGCTTAGATATGTTCCTACATATTAAGATGTCAAAGATCATAGTTATTAAAGCACTGGATGCTCTCCATAATAATCCAGACCCTTGGCCACTGTAGTAGAGACTAATACCAAGTTTTTCAGACATGTTTTTCTGAGCAAACTGTGATTAGCTCTCTGCAGCACAAGACTGTGCCCTATCAAATCACAGTGTGAAAATTAGTTATTGAAGTCTGTATGCAAACAAGAAATACAATGAAATTCTGCTTTGACTCTCAACAGTCTTCCCAAATCCACGGGCATTTAATGTGCTCAGCATTTTTTAAACTATAATAATCAGTTATCGCAGATACTATCAGTTCAAATGCTTTTGTTTTATGCTTACACAACTGAAGTTTATAGAATTAAAGCCTTGCCTGAGTGAACGTTGACATCCTCACCAATGCTCTCTGCACTTCTCAATTTATCACAATTACTGTTAGCAGCTATTAGTTTTAAAACTTATTAACACATGCAAAGCACAGGAGTTACTTAATCCCATATAACATATATTTAAATACAAGAATTCCACAAATCTTCAAGAATAATGGAATTAGTTTAGATTTGGCAATACATTTCAGGACACTTCACTATTTTGCTAGGAAAAGGAACAGATTAAGTAATCTTCAAAGAATCACAGAATATTCTGAGTTGGAAGGAGCCCACAAGGACCATTGAGCACAACTGTCAAATGTATTGTTAAAACTTCAACTTTCATTTTTGCTTCTAAAAAGTGAGTCAGGAAAGCTAGAGTGTAAGAGAAATTTCAGACCATCAGGGAGGGGAGCACGGCTGGTTAAGCACCTGTAGAAGATGATGCAGCAGCCTTACCATAGCCAGAAAGCTTTTGTGCATAGAACAGCATGAAGGAAAGCACATTTTTAAGAAGTGACAGAGAACCTGGTATCCTTGACCAAACATCTCCAACAGTCCTAAAGGCCTGAGCAAATAGTATCCATTCCAGCCCAGCTCATAAGTCAGAGCATTTTTTGCAGAGCATACCTTAGGTGCTGGTACTGCAGAATGACCCCAGAGGGATGTTTTTTGCTGCTCTAACAATTCCATTTTTACCAGCATAAAATTCAATTACTCAGTTTTGGGGTATGCAAGCCAGTTTTGGTTGTCCAGTTGGATGATGCTTTCTATTGCTGAAATTTCTAAAAACAGCAAATAAGGAACAATAAGACAAACAAAAAATCCTTTCACCAAGGTCATCAAGGATAGAGGGTACACAACACATTATGTGTACAGAACAGGGATTTTATTTTTTGAGTGCTCCCAGACCTCTACAGTGTAAGGGAATTAAGGAGCTCAGTGCTTTGCATTAAAAGGCCCTAAAAAGATTAAATTATTGCCAGCAAGAATAGTAATTACTCTGACTTACAAATCTACATACTTCACAGATGTGGAAAGGATCTGAGAGAACAAAAGCTACACCATGCAGAAATGGTGAAAATACTGAGTGACCATTTTCTGTCTTGCAGGCACCTTTCCTCCTGTCCCCACTCTGCATTTGTAAAAATATTATGCATCCATAGCTGAAAAAATTCATAGTCTGGGATGTAGAAAATAAGAACAATTCTAACACAATGCCTTTATAAAAATTAATGATGTGCCTACAGTGGATTTATTTCCTGATGTTCTTCTGTGGTAATAAACCCACATCCCTTGACACATTTGGAAGTCAAACTGAATAATGAAACCAGAAAATTTCTTGGCTGCCATCTACTGTTCAAAACTTTCCTGTATCTCACAGAAAAAGAAAAACAAACCAACCCAAAGAACAGTCACTGACACCTTCAGGCTTTCTCCTTCTCTTTGCTATTCTTGCTAAAACCAATGTTTTTGGGCTGCTTTTACAGACCACTACATTTATGTAAGGATTCTGTATTTGCTCACCTTTCAATCAGAGAATGAGAAACACAAAACCGTGTAAACTTAACGACACAGTGTTTAAGGGAAGAACACTGTAGTACTTTTAATATTCAATGAAAGACCATTAAAGAAGTCTCTACTAATTCACTAGAGAGCACTAGAATGTGATTCCACTATACAGTGATCCACTAGCAGTAGGACAGAGACTAAAAAGCAATGTGCAAGAAAGTTGTCTGCATTCCTATTTTTCAAGGCTGTGTGTCTCTATCAGGGTAAGCCCTACAATATATTTGTTTCTCTCTCTCTTATTTTGAGAGCTGTCTAGATCTATTTGTCCTTTACAACTCCTCTGCCTCATCTCCTGCCTACTCATTCAAATGCTTTGCCATGTTTAAAAAAACATATTTCTAAGATCCACACTCACAAGTTCACAAGACTATATATATGACATACATACTACATGCATACATATATAATAATACATATATAATATATATATTACATACATAAACATGCATACATAGCATGAAGCTGACCACATCTTCCCAGTCTCTAGTAGGCAAACTGCTCCCTCTTACAAAAAGGTATCAGATGGTGAAACAGTTTTTCAAAGATAGTTATAGAGTATGACAATTGCAAATACAACACATATTAAAAGAGTGAAATTAATATTTTTTTAGAAAGATACTAATAAATCTAAGATAATAATAGATCTAACTAAGATATTAACAACTTCTACTTTCACAATTTATTTTCTCTACTCTTTATTTTCCTTCAGTATTTGTCCAAGTTTGGTATGCTCTGCTGGAAAAGTAATCCTAATAGAGAATCAGCACACTAGCAGTCTGTAAGGTACAATACTCAGTGGCTGAGGAATGCAAGTAGATCAGGGCTCATGCTGTAACAAACAGAAGAAAACAAAAAGGAAATGGAAGAAATTAAACAAAAGAAAACCTCCCACCCTGAGCACAATTAAAAATAAGCAGCTGGAAGAAGTGCACCGCGGTTCACACAGTGCACACCAGGTCATTTTGATCACTTGTGGTCAGGGATGTAATTATCTCTGTTGTGTACTTCCAGAGAGGGAATTTGAAGGAATTTGGTGCTTCAACCTACCTGGTTTGAAATGGGGTAAAGAATGGACTCCAGGCCACGTATCTTCATTTGGTGTTCCAAGTACCTGTACACAAAAAAATATAAAAAAACACATTGCTTTAATGGAAAAGACTTAACAAGTCATAGCACTGTAGAAAGCACAATCTAAACTTCAAATAAGCTTCTTCACTGGGGGATGGGGAGTAAGAAGAAGGTACAAAAGGTTAAATGATTATAACATTTCCAAGGTAGCAGTGGAGTTTGTAAAGCAGATGGGAGTGCTGTGTTCCTGTCACACTGCCTGTTTAACCAATGGATGTTAAAGCTACTTTTAATAGACAAGTAACAAGCTATCTGAGACACTGGTGTTACAGAGACTAGATAATTTAGCTCAGACATAGCTTCAATCCCTAGAAATTTAAATAAGATAAACAGATAATGAATAGATGCCAGGATTGAAGATTTACACTGATGGTAAAAGGGATGATCAAGAGTGTGGCATGAACAAGAATGCACAGCAAAGAGTTGTTATTTTAACACGGCTGCAGTACATATAAAAATAGTAAATTCTTAGGAGATACTGACTTTATTGACTCGTGCATTATGCTTTGTTTCTATTCACTTCAACTGTCCTCCTTTTTGTGATGTAAGTCAGATCAACTTATGGCATCAAAGTATTTACACTTCTCACATGTATCTTGTATATCTGTTCATATGAAAAGTTCACTCTCCGTCCCCTTGGCACAAGTAGTAATTAAAGGGAGAGAACTAATAGAAGTAGTTCTCCCAAACCTGGTTTTCCTTCACAACACATAACTGTCAAGACTTGCTTTAAGTAAAGCCAGGAAGAACGCTTAAATTACCAGCTCCAGAAACACATTTCTAAATGAACTGTAGATCTTTCTTTTCAAAATTTTACACTCAATTTCTAATATGAATGAAAATGCTAATTATTTTGAATATTTGTTATAAGCTCAGCCTCTGGAATGAAAGGTTGATATTCTGAGTGAAAGTAATTCACATTAGTCTGGTGCTTGTTTTGCATTATCAATGTACAAAAGCCCCTCCCAGCTCTGCCCCTATCTGCACTGCAGGTCATCTGAATAAAACTTTTGGACTTGCATATCTTGAGTCCCTGTGGTCAGTTACATCAGCATGAAGCAAGCCCAAAGTTTGTGTGAAAATCATTTGGAACTGAAGAGATTTATTTTAGTTTTGTTTGCTGCAATATACATATGAATTAGGAGCATTAAAGGAAGGATACCACTCTACTTGTTTAATTTCTTAAGCTACGTAAACATTTGTTCATGTTGATAAATTCAAGCTGAAAAAAATTCTTAGAAGCAAAACTGGCAAGGTAAAACACAAAAAGTTTTTCTTCAACTCTGCCAGAAATGTATTAAATTAAATTCATAAATTAGCTTAAAAACTTAAGACAAAATTAAGTGAATTCTGAAAGAGATACAATTTTTACCTATGAGATTTGCTTTATGAGTCTAAGGCCTCAAACTTGTTGAGCAGTTTACAACAGTCATATATTTATAATCTAAGAATATTAATACAATGATATTTTTTATCCACAATCAAATACAATAGGCAAACAGTTGAACTTGGATGTAGTAGAAGGTGAAAGCAGAGCGCTAAAGTGACAAAGGTGACAGTATCAGTGCAACTATAGAGTATACAGTCACATAGTTATTTAGGTATGCAAATTCACTGATTTTATTTGTAAATATTGTTTGTAGGCACATTTCTTTCAGTCCTTGTGATAAGTCTTAATTAGTGCTTGAATAAGATAAACCTGGCCCTGCAACCCTGATTCATCACAACACCCGTGTTCATCTCATTATTGCTATGAGAGAGAGCACAATGCTGTCATTAAACATTGAGGAAGTCTGGAGACACCATCGACACTATGTCACAAAATCAATTTGCAAATAACTTCCACTTATCTTCTGCATTAATCAAGCTCCTGGTGCCAAGCACCATCCAGACCAGGAGAGGGAGCCCGTGGATCAAAAACAGAGATTCTTGCATCAATTTAAATTTAGAAATAAGGTCCTCTACTTTGCAACTCCTCTTAGTGAATCAAAGGAATAGTCTCTTATTAAATAAGATATATTGGTTATGAATATATTTGTTCTGAATATTAAAAAAATTAGTCACATTCCACTAAAAGTGTGTTCTTATTTGCCTCTTATTTTATGAGACAGAGGCAGCTATGGGACTGTACAGATAAAAATTAAAACCAGCCAACAAAATCTGTACTTTTCACTTTTTAAAGGAATCATACTTGATTCACTGTTTTTTGTTTCACTAATTTTCCAATCCATTTCTTTAATAATGTTCTAGCACATCTGCCACTACAGTATCTAGGAGCCAGCTACAAACAAGTTCTGTGCATTGGAGTACTCAAACCACGTACAATATTTATACCTTCTCTCAAGGGCAGCAGCCAGGCTGAAAACAACTGCAGGTTTCCTAGCATCTAAATGCCAGCCATTTTTAAGATAGAGACACTTGGTAGTTCAGGCAAGGATCCAAACACTTTATTTTAATGCCAGGGACAAACACTATAAAGATCATCCTTCTTCCACGCAAATTTTTACATATGTAATACAGAAATTCACAATATGTGTCAACCAACAAACAAGAAGAGAGGGCAGCAGTGGAAGAACTGTGGTTTTGGATAAGATTAAACGGTTACTGCCCACAGGTAAGCCAACATAAAGAGATTTGTAAGCATCATTTTGTAAGTGATTCTCCTAAGCAGCAATCAATCCCATTTTGATGAGTGGGATTAAGCAATCCAAAGCAATGAGTTTTTACACCTGCTATAAACAAAGCAAAGTGGGGTTCACACTTAACACCACAGTGGAGAAGAATCTGCCTTGTTCTGCAGCTTACAAGAGAGAATTAAGGCACCAAAATGGAAAAGGGAAGGGAGAACCCTACAGTCTTCTGGTTTTACTGGAATACACTGTCACTTAGCAGTGAAGACTGATTACCCAGACCCAGAAAACAGCTGAACACTGGGAGCTGTTATTTTACAGGTGACCTCCTAGCCCCAACTTTCATGGTCCACCACTTCTCATCCTAAGCATGACACCAGGAGTTCTGCCTCCTCTATATTTTAACATTTTTTCTTTCCATTTCATGTTCCAAAGCCATAAGAATAACCACCACTGGCACAGCAATCAAGCCCTAATTTAATACCTGAAATAAACTTTTATTTAGTATTAAGAATTACTTGAAAAAAATAAGACTAATTTGTTTGCTTTCTCTACTGATAATTTGCTTCTCAGCATGGTAAACACTCAGCTTGCATGGTTTAATGTCCTATTTTCTTTAAATTGAATCACTAGCACAAGACTAATCTACAATTCTCATATTTGGAATGGATTTAATGTTTTCCAGGGACCATGGTGATTATGGTGAAGAAGACTCCAAAATCTACTGGGGTTCTGCTGTTCCACACCACAGACAACACTCTGGGATCTTTTTGTTCTCTGACAAGGGATATAAAATTATGTTCTTATTTGAAACGTGCCAGGACCAGATTCTAATTCCATTTGTAGGATGAGAAGTCTATTTGTATAAAAAGAACAGACTTACAATACATCAGGGTACTGAGGGTCAAATATCTGTACTGCCAGTTGATACCATTAGGGTTTGGCAGAAAGCTATAAAAACAGAACCTGCTGTTCAAATCTCCATATACAATCATGATATAGAACAGTTTCCTAGGAAATGCAGTAAAAATGCAACAATTACCTTATTTTTTTACTATAAGAAAAATTTTGGGGCTAGCATCTGGTTTTGCAAGGACTCACCACTCCCTGTTGTACAAGGGAATAATTAGTTTACAGTGAGCTTTGCACCACTCTACAACAGAATTAGTCATGTTGTCCTGTATTCTGCTTCAAATGCAAAACCATCCCACGTTACTGCCATGTATCAGATGAGCAGCAGTGCAAATCTTTCCTACCAGCTCTTTCCCAATTGCTGGCATAATTAATAAAGAAGAGGATTTCCCTTTACACTACAAGTTTTGAATAGACAAAGCTGCATATTACTGATATAATACTTTAACCCTTGTTAGAGATGATGATCTTCAAGAAGGGTGACGGTTTGGACTTCAACAAGACAAAGAACCTGCAGCCTGTGGTATTAGTCAGAGCAGAATGAAAAACCAGACCAGAATGCAAATGAGCTGCCTTTCCTTAGACAAGAGTTATGGAAATCAGGCTAAGTAACATGCAGAATTTTAAATTTTTTTAATGTTAGGTCAACTTGATGAACAAACAGTTTAGTAAAAAAAAAAAAAAAAAAAAAAAAGTGTCAGGAGAGTGCAATTTTTTCCTTTTAAAAGAAGAGAGGTTTGTTGAAAAAATGCCCTGGAATTTTAACTCGGTAAAGTTACAAGCTGGATGTAAAATGTTTTTTTTTAATTTTATTGTACCTTTTAAGGATGTTCAAGATTTCTTTTCCAGTCTTCTTGTTTGCTAAGTAAAACATACTGCATTTAGTGAATCCTTGGCTGTGATACACCACGGGAGACTAGAGCTCTTTGAGGAACGGAACTCAATCAAAAGAGGAAGAGAATCAGCATTGCAGACCATTTCCAAATCAGCAATCCCTTTCTGTTGAGTGAGATTTGGAGGTTCAGATGTTTGGTTTTTCAACAAAAAATCTGTTCTATTCTTTGGAAACATATATATCTAATGAAGTTTTCACCTTAGTCAAAAACCTAGGTATCTTCCATTTCATTAGAGGAAAGTACATTACTGCTTTAGATTTGCCTCTTGAGGAGCCGTGTGAGTTCCAGGGTTTTTCTACGGCAGCTCCATCTCTCTCAGAATCACCTCTGGACACAGAATTTCTGCTCTGGAGGAGTGATGGTGCTAAGCCATTTGTCCAGATGATCCACCTACAGCCACGTTCCCTTCCTGAGGAGTAGAGTCAGGCAGATGTGAAGCACATCTTTCACAAGCTGGAAAAGTTCTGTGTTATGACCCAATAATGTCAGTGAGCACAAAGTATGTGTAGCAGTGCAGACCAAAGAATGAACTTCATCCTTCAACT